AGTGATGTGTGTGAGGTGACAAACCCTCCGGGGATGAAGGGGGCCCAGTGGGGCATCAGGGAGATGCCTAAAGAAACTGTGGTCCTATCAGATGCGAAGAGGAATATTACGTCAGAACAGAATTGAGTGGTAAATAAATGTGTTTAATTCAATCAGTGGCTGGAGAGCTTTGGTTGGTAGGCTTCAGATTTAACTCAGCTGAGTCTGCAGACCCTGTAGTCCTCAGTAGTTGTGGAGTTCTGTTCTTGTGACTATAGGGCTTCCTGCTCTCACCCAGGGTCTGGGGTGCAACTCAAGGTGATGTAAAAATACTGAAAAGTGAATCTCAGTTTGTCTGGAATGATAATAATTGTCAGTGGGTAAGCATATTGAATATGAATTCCAGAACAACTGGAACTAAATATGAAACATGATGAAGAAAATCCAGCCCATTTTCTGACTGTTCTTGTGTTCCATTGAGAACAACTGCAAACACTTAGTATTGTTTTGTCTATTACGCTTAAAAGAACTCGGCAGGTTAGAGGGTTAACAGATAAAACTTATTTTTCTTTTTGAAATGTGTAAAGAGACTCATTACCTTAACATTTATGATTGAAAGGTATAAAGGAGTTTTCACTAAGATTTTAAGCAGTATTGTAATATTTAGAACTTATAATAATCAACTTTTTGAGTGTAACTCATTAGATTTATAAGACTTATTTAATAACTAGAAATATTTTGCTTGTTAGATAGACAGTTAGGTACTCAGGAAACTGGATATATTAAATTTATAATGTTCACAAGGTATAAAAGATTTTAATCACCTACAATATAAAAACCTTGTAAATACTTGATACGTTGTACTATATTTATAAATTGAGTAATATGTATAAACTAGATTTAATAACAAATTAGTTTTACTTGTACTTCAATCAATTAAGTAAATTGAATAATAATTTAAAAATAAGTCTTTACTGTCAATGTAAGCCAGCCTAGTGAAGTTAGAAGGGCCCATATTCTCATGCACGTTCACACTTCCATCTCATTTGAGCTTTACAAATAAACCCTTGTGAGGTAGATGTACATGTCTTACCTCTGCTGCTTTAAGATGGGACACATGCATTCCCATGAGCTTAATCAATAAACGATAGCCCTCGTCATCGCTGGACCTTCCCAGTTTATTCCACCTGAAACACTTTGCTTATCCTTTACCTTCCTCCTGTTGGCTAATTTCTCCCTATCTTTTCCCAAAGAATCCTGCAAAATAGAATAGATGTGCTTCCCATGTATTTCCTTTGCTTTCTGTACAAACCTCAAGACAGTCCCTGATGGCTGTTGTAACGGTTTATTTAGCTGTTCCTAGACCCTAAGTGCGTTGACAAGGATCCCGTATTTTTCACAATGAAAACCTCAATGTCTTGTATATTTTTTTCAATTTTGATGAATAGTTTCTTTCTTTACTTTCCCGAGCTTTATCGGAGGATGATTGATGTGTTAGACTTGCACACCTTTAAGGTGTCCAGCAGGAAGAGGACACAGGGCGACAGCTCACGGACACTGATCTTGGCGATGGTTTTTGGATGTGACACCAAAAGCACAGGCAAAGAAGCAAAAATAAACAAGTGAGACTACGTCCAACTAACAAGCTTCTCCATAGCAATAGAAACCATCAGCACCCATAGAGAGTGAGAGAACGTTTGCAAGCCCTATGTCCACTAAGGGGTTAATATCCGAAATATATAAGGGACTCCTACAGCTTAAGAGCAAAAGAACCAAATAACCCAACTGAAAAAGTGGGCAAAAAACCTGAATAGACATTTTCCCAAACAAGACATATAAAGGATCAACAAGTACATAGAAATGCTCAACATCACGAATTTTCAGAGGAATGCAAGTCAAAACCACAATGAGATGCCACCTTGCACATCTTTTTAGCACGTAGTAGGTACTAAGTGAACACTGTTGTTGATGGAAGCTATTTTGTGGATAAAGCCATGTAGCTAGAGCTTAAATGCAATAGAGATTCTACTCCTACATTCATCTTTCCTCCCCCAAATCAATATCTTAAAAGTCTCTGAAATAAATATATTATGAAAATTGTCCCTCAAGATTGGAGTTGGAAAACCGGATTTTGAAATATTGCCCTATTTTATGTTTAGTCTATTTTTTTTTAGGCTATCGGGATATTCTGAAATCAGTTCAAATTGTCAGTAGGTAGTGAGCCAGTCAGCCCTAACAGGGCATTAGGAAATGCAGCATGTGAGTTGGAAGCCGAAGAATATATATGTACACAACACATCTTTAACTTCTAGGCTACCAGCGTCTCCAGCACCATTACAACGAGACGCTGATCAGTGCTGTGTACAGAATAAGGCCACCACCCTCCAGGAACTGACGGTCCAGGTAGAGGAAGCAGAAGCCACAAGGAATACAGGTGAGTGCAGAGGCTAAGTGACCGTACGTTGTGGGACTGCAGGAGAACTAAGGATGCCCCGTGGGGTGGAGCGAAGGAGGATGCGCTCATGGAGAATGCCTCGACCGTTACTGTACCAAGGGCGGTGCCTGGTCCATGGCAGGAAATAAGTATTTACGGAGTGAAGGAATAAGTGAACGTGGAATTAAGTGGGGTCTTAAAGAAATGATTAGTCAAACACATTTGGCCAAACTTTATGAATAAAAGTTATCCATAAACCCTATGATCCTTTAAAAATATCTTGGGACTGTTGAATTAATCTAGTCTTCCCTGTGTTTCCCTCTCCAACATCTGTGTTTTAACAGGCTCATTTAAAAGCCTTCGCCTAAAGAGTGATTATTATGAAATGTTAGAGGTGAGTGTTGGGGAAGTGTTTGTCAAGAATAGGTTTCAGAACTAGTCACAGCTCAGCACGGGAACAACTACCTGCTCTAGTCTGGATAAAAAATTTAAAAAGAGGCACGAAAGAGGTTTAGTGGCAGAAGACTGTGGTTTCACATTAGCATTTCCATATGGAGAAAAGGTCAGGATGATAAGAAAATGAGATAAAGGGATTTGGCAAACACATCCTTGTGTTTATTTTCAATGTTTTTATTTGTGTTAATTGCATTTTTGCTACTTTTACTTTTAAATATATTTGCAATATCTTACACTATGTATTTGCAAATGAGAGTTTGAGGAAATTTTTCAAGATAACATATCTCAAGTAAAATTATCATAAGTTCAAATCAGCTTTTGAACTCTTAAAGTCATTAAAATGGAATGCAAAGTCAAGATGAACTTTATCGTGTAAAAAAACTAATGAATTAATTAGAGTCCTCCAATATACAGTGGTTTGAAGGAGAATTAGAATTTTGATGCCGTGTCTTCAGGGCTTATTTCATTTGTAGAGGTCAAAAGATTTAATGATTTTGAATTCACAGATGCTTTTAATAACATTTTGCGGCAATAATGGAAAACAGGATTCAACAGCAATACTCACATTGCGCTTGACACAATATCATGAAGCAATTCACCCTCTGTTTAATCTACAGATACGCCGGTTTTCATTAACTTTACAAGTGTTGTTTGATTGAGTCAAATCAATATATTCCCACAAGTAGCATTAATTTATATGAGAGGGAAAAAAGTTTAAAAGATAATTTACTTTTCAGATTAATTCAGGTTAATACATTATTCACAAAAATTCCAGCTAGCCTTTGAAAATAATTATAAGAATTTTGTAATGAACAACACTCTGTCAACCCCTTTCCATGTCTTAAGCCATGATACTTTCAAAACAGTGCCATTTAAATGTGTGGAGAATGTATATTCCAAAGCAGTTCGAATATATGGTGCGAATTTAAAAATCGTTGCAATGCAACTCTGCTCAAGAATATCAGGTTAAGTATTAACTATCTTAGCTATGAAAAGTAATAATAAAAGACAAAATAAAACTTCAAACCTATAGTTCTTTGGTGCCCAGGACTAGTATGTACTTGAGATTTCCCATTTTCCCCTGTATCACATATATTCTTAGCTCTATTTTAGAATTTGAATTTTCAATTTTCCTTCATCACGTTCAGCCTAGTCCCTCTTTTTAGTGTGAGATACCTGCCTACCCCAGGGCACTTACCTGCTTTCCATGTTCACCTAATATTAGTCCTGATGGAACCACCAGATTGGCTACCCATCCCCTTCATCATGTCACTGATTGCAGGCGGTGGTGGTATCATTATCTTAGCAATTATTTGGATAATCCTATGTAATTATACAAGATGTGGATTTTACTCAGTTAATACCACACCTTCCAGTGTTATATAAAATGTTAACATAATAAAAAAGTAACTGTGTCAGACTAATTCTGCTTTTTAATTCTTCATGTTAGCATTGCAAATTTGTAGTGTTGATTTTAGAGCATGGTTCATGTTATAACTGAGCTTGCTGTCTCCATGTCTGGATTTACGTGTGAATCCCAGCCTCATCTATAGCTAGAAATCATAGTTTTGCCCAGGTGCATTGAAGATAAACAAAAACAAAAAAGACAAAAAGACAATAACATATTTCCAGTGGACCTTAGCTGCATTTCTGTTTGCTCAGCTGAGTCATTTGTCTCTGTTTATCTTCTTTCTCCTGTTTCTTCTAATTTCAATATACTGTACACGTGGATAGGCTGTATTCACATGTTGGTGTTTCTTTCTATCTTCAGAGCTTCTGCTGAACATGCTGACCAGCTAGGACAAGTGGGGAGTCATATAACTATTGTCTGAAATTACATGGCCAAAAAGTAGTTGATATCAATATTTATTTGTTTTTATATTTAGATTGCCATGATTAAATAATGGGCAATCCTTAAATCTACAAATAGCCAGGTTAGAAATCAGAACACCTGGATTTATCCTTTTATTCGTATCTGTTATTATTTGCTCAGGTGCAGTGCAATGGCCGTGTTTCTGTGTGGCGGGCAGAGCTACTTGCTATGGTGATTCAGGAGCCAGACCCCTTTCTCAGGTTCTGCCGTTCCCAGGGGCTGCAGATGTACATGTTATGAGAGGGTGCGGACACTTTACCGTCTGTGACAGTGGACAGGTAATGTAGAGCCTGGATTTCTGCTTCTTCATGTGTAAAACAGAGGAGATAGACGAGCCGATCTTCTAACACTAGTCATTTACGATGATGAGTCATAGAAAGTGGACCACTGCAGGGAATTACATAAGAAAAAAATTAAGGAACATATTTTATATGCAGTTTTTATATTCTAGAAACATGTGCAAAGCTTTCTAAGTTCTAAATCTTGCACAACTCTTATATGGAAACAACACAGGAAAAATAAACTATACCTCTACCAACTTAGAATATAAATTGAAATATTCTACAGTATTTAATGTTAGCATAAATGAATATAATTCATTACAATAATAAAAAAGATGATGAAGTTTAAGATATCTAACAAAATAATAAAATATTTCATATGAGAACAACTGCAAATTAAGACATTCATTTGCATTGAAAATGCATTTAATAACATTCAAAAATATTTTTCCATATAATTCTTGGAAGACTAGAAATAGAAATATCTTCTTTAACATTTTATTTTGTTGTGTTTTTTTGCGGTACGCGGGCCTCTCACTGTCGTGGCCTCTCCCGTTGCGGAGCACAGGCTCTGGACGCGCAGGCTCAGTGGCCATGGCTCACGGGCCCAGCCACTCCGCGGCGTGTGGGATCTTCCTGGACCGGGACACGAACCCATGTCCCCTGCATCGGCAGGCGGACTCTCAACCACTGCGCCACCAGGGAAGTCCCAAGCACACCTTTTTTACAGAATTATTTGTGAACAAGATGCAGGCATAAATATAAAATAAACCAAGGAACTGCAGCTTAGACCATAAAAAGATACGTTGCTCATCTAGAGCAGGTTAAAATTGGTAAAATTTTCACTTTTATATCATCTATCTATCTATCTATCTATCTAATTTGTGCATAGTCAAATTACAGAAATCATTGAAATAGTGTAAAGTTACTACAGTGGAAACATTGTGAGACGAAAATCCAAGTCTGTAAGAAGCAACTCACCTGACTGTTTACTGTGATTCACTCATTTCTTCTACAAACGTTAATTAAGTGGCCAATCCATGACCTTGGCGAGGCAGTGAGAGCTGAACGGTAGAAAGACAGTTTTGTGGCTGTAAGTCATAGTCTAGATGGGAACACAGACAAAAACCTAGTAAACACCCATGAACAAATTCACAATGTGGTTAAGTTATAAGTGAAACGAACATGGGACGAGACAGAACATATTTAGGGTGTCAGGACATGGGGTTATGGGTTAAGGTAAATGTTTCTTATTTTTACCTTACTCAGCGTCCAATCAGGGAAACAGAAACCATACCAAGGACATTTATGTCTCGTATTGATAAGGAAGTTTATTAAAAAAAGTTCAACCGTCACTGGATTCAAACTAACAGGTAGGCGAATGATGCTATAGTAAAAACTGTGTGATATCAAAGCAGAACATTCTTCATGTTCATTAAGGTTATTGAAATCAAATGCCTCATCTCTTGCACGCTGACATGGTGAAAAGAGAGAAGCAGCTTCATTCTAGAAACGTGTTTCCTCATTGGCATTTACACTTTGGCCAAGATGGAAACTATGCTATTATTAAAAATACTGGATGACTGGGAAGTCTAATTATAGCACAGGAAAAAGAACGTTTGGATTAACAGCTTCCATTCACATACACTACATTTAAAAAATTTCAGAAGCATACAAAGAGGTCACCACTGGCAAAGCCCATCCGCCTGCCGGTGCAGGGGGCACGGGTTCGTGCCCCGGTCTGGGAAGATCCCATATGCCGCGGAGCGGCTGGGCCCGTGAGCCATGGCCGCTGAGTCTGCACGTCCGGAGCCTGTGCTCCGCAACGGGAGGGTCCACGACAGTGAGAGGCCCGCGTACCGAAAAAAAAAAAAAAAAAAAAAAAAAAAGAAGCCAACCACATTAGCAAAACGGAAGCTTGGAGTAAACCGGGAATATTGGCCTGAGACTTTTAGATCTGATAGTTCTTTCTTTAAGCAACCTATTGCTTCTTTATGTAGATGTACCAGTTCATTTTAAATGGATAATATTAATAATTCTGCGGTTTTAATCCAGGCTCAGGAGCTTATATTTCAGGGGTTTCTCTCTAATACTGCTCCAGCGGGAGAATGTGGGTCCCCCCCTTATTACACAGGGGTAGGCAGAGGTCCAAGATCCCCGCTGGGCCTCCGTTGACACATAGTGGGAAGCACCCTTGCTGTTGCTGGGCATGGGCGGAGTTTCCCATTCCCACGGGTACTTCCCTGCCCCGGGGGTCAGGAGGCCTTCATCGCTGCTCCCATGGACTGGTCTCCACTGACACCAGCCCAGTACTGTAGGGGAGGGGGACCTCATTACTACCAGGTAGAGGTGGAAGTTGTCTCCCCATCTGGCCTCCAGGACGTCCCTGGTGGCGGGGGGAGCCTTAGTCGTGTCTGATGGAGATCTCTTTGACTGTTTAGCTCATTTTTTCTATATTGGTTTGCTATTGTTGCTGCAACAAATTACCACAAACTTAGTGGCTTAATACAACACACATTTATTCCCTTTCAGTTCTGGAGGTTTGAGATCTAAAATCAACATGTAGCAGGGCTGTGCTTCTTCTTGAGGCTTCAGGAGAGAAGCGTTTCCGTGTTTTCTCAGTTTCTAGAGGCTGCCTGCATTCTTGGCTCCTGGCTCCCTCTTCATGTCACTTTAACCCCGTTTCCATGGTCCCGTTTCCTACTACTGACTCTGGTCCTCCGGCTTCCCTTTTAACCACACTGAGCCCACGGGTATAATCCCGGGTACTCTCCCCATCTCAAAGTCCTCCACTTTATCCTATCTGCAAAGTCTCTCTGAACACACCAGGTAACAAGCCACAATTGCTGGGATTCAGACATGGTCCCCCATCTTTGGGGGGGTCATTATTCAGCCTACCCCACCTCCATCTAAACCATTGTTAATTCTAACAGTTTCCATCACCAAAATGGCAACAATTTTACTCTCAGTCTCCGTCTTTATCACCCTGAGGCAGGCCTCCATCTCTTACCGTGATGTTGGCCATCCAGAGGCTTCACACAGCAGCAAGAATTATGAGTTAGAAACCCAGAAGGCTTTTTGAAAGGGATGGAAGTAGGGCTAGGCTTTAAAAGGACGCTGTAACGCTCTGATTACAAAATATGACGGTGTAAAGAACATTTTCGTAAGCGGGCTCACGTTAATCGAATTTCTTCACATGCAAGACCTTGGCAGTAACCTTTGCTTGGATGAGTATACAGACAGGCAAAAGATCAGGAGAGGCCGAACGTGTTATATTATCTGAGAGAAACTTGCGTGTCTGTTACGCTGTGCTGTTGAAACGAGGTGGGTGTTGGACAGACGTTGAAGAACAACTATTGAATGGAGTTAAGAATGTATTTCCATGGAAAAGGAACTGAATTAAATTCAACTAACCTTGATTGAGCATGTTCTGTGCTAGACGTGACTAGGAGAAGTCTACATACACGAAGAATAAGACATAGCGCTTGCCTAAATCAGCTTAACGTGAATAAGTGTTATAAAGCACTCAGATCATGACATTACACATAAGCTTGAAAAATTGTGTAGAGGTTCCTAGAGGATTTGCACACAAATTATTGTATCTGGTGGTTTGGGAAGATTTTATTTTTTTCTGTCAGCAGAGATTACTAAAGTAGTGAATGTATTAGAAGCAGTCAAATAGAGCAACTGATTCCCACAAAGTCATCAGGCACTCACAGTATATACAAGTGGACAGGATGGGCACAACTAAAAACTGTCACCAAGACGATGTAGATGGTAAAGGGGCAGAGAATAAGTTAGAGAAGGTGAAGGGAATAGTGCAAGCATTTTATACCACCCAGTTTTCCATAGCATCCTTCCTTCATTTCAGAAAAGTGTGTTTCATTTCATGGGGAAGATTGGTACATGGAAACACCTTTGTAGGAATCAGGAGTCAGTCTGATTTCCATCAATATTATACTGATATCAGTCGTCACCTTTCCTGAACTTTTCCAGCAAGATATGTATCACACAGAGTGAAGTCAGAAAGAGAAAAGCAAATATCGTATCATAGCGCATATATGTGGAATCTAGAAAAATGGTATAGGTGATCTTAGTTGCAAAGCAGAAATAGAGACACAGGTGTAGAGAACAAATGTATGGATACCAAGGGGGAAAGGGGTGGGGGGGGAGGGGTAGGGAGACTGGGATGGACACATATACACTATTGATACTATGTATAAAATGGACAACTGATGGGAACATGCTGTATAGCACAGGGAACTAACTCACCTGGTGCTCTGTGGTAACCTAAATGGGAGGGAAGTCCAAAAGGGAGGGGATATCTGTATGTCTGATTCATTTTGTTGTGCAGTGGAGGCTAACACAACATTGGAAAGCAGCCATACTCCAATAAAAATTAATTTAAAACAAAAGAGCTTCCAGCACTATGTCGAATAGAAATGGTGAGAGTGGGGGAAAAAAGATATAGCTTATATATAATGTTTCAGTGTCAAAATATCAACTCCAATATCACAGAAAATTTAAAAAGATCAAAGTTTAAATCAATTGTCTAGCTACCCTAACACAAATTGTTAGCCTACATTCAGTTAGTGTTGTTCTAGAAACGTGAGATAAAATTGTGTGTTTTCCAAAAGAGGGGAAATGTGTTTTCATGTGTGAATTTTATTAAATTCCCATAACCTTCTAAGCCCTTGACAAGTGGCATTAATCAATAACTTCTTACAATGTGGAGATTTAAGTGGTCCTTCTTGATACACTAATCGATGAAGAAAATTTTATCAAATATCTTACATATTAAACATCTTCTTGTAAAATACACTTCGAAGTTTTAAATGTGTCTGGCTGTTCACTGGATTTAGAAGTGAGTCATTTTCACCTGCTGGGGTGTAGGGCAGAGTGGATTGTTACTGGAACGAAACACTCTTGGGAAACGGCAGCCACTTATGTTCTCTCAGCAAGGCATGTACCCTCCCGCCACAATAAAATGGTTTGAC